TGGAAATGTTGGATCTTGGCAATTAGAAAATAAGGTTATTTTTTGCAAATTGCTATCTCTTTTTAGGCTATTTTTGCAAATTTGTATCTATTTTAGGTCATTTTTGTGAATTGGTACTTGTTAGTTGAATTGCAAAATTAACCATTTTGTATCTTTGTTCTTTAGGCTTATCAATTTTGGACTCAAACTGATAGTGAGGGATATTTCTTGATCAAGAATGTTATTCCTGGGAACTATAGTTTATATGCTTGGGTGCCTGGATTTGTTGGAGATTACATGTACGATCCGTACATTATTGTCACGCCAGGTCAGGAAATACGTCATTCATTCTATGTTTGAACTGACATAGAGTTTAAGAAAAAAAATGATTTTAAAAAAACAAACTTGTGGGGTTAAATATGTAGTAAGCTTCTCAAAGTTGGTAAATCAAAATGGAGAGAGTAATGTTATATCTACTCTTCCATTTACATCAAATAGTTAGGTGATATCTTAAGTCCATTATTTTTACCTTGATTGCATACCGGATCCTCCAAAAGTAGTGCATTTTTTGAGGATCTGACATTGTGAGACATAATTTTTGGAGAGTCCCTAGCAACATATGTGAAAAGTAGAATCCATGATGATTTAAATTCAATGCTTTCAACAATTATGGGTTCAAATCTAATTAGTACCTAAAACAAGTCTTGTCTGGTGTACGAAGCAACTCGTATTCATGTAAGGTCATGGAGGGGCCATACCTAAAGGGTGTCATGATGTAAATTGCTTGTTGATTCCATGTGACAAACTTTACTGTTGCTTCAAGACTCCCCTTTCTGAGATCTTTGTGTCTAATGAATTTTTTATTGATTGGTTGTAAGTAATATTAAATTCTTTATCTACATATCTAGTATGTTTATGTATAAAACAGGATCAAGAAAAAGGGTAGAAACTCTTATATATGATGCTCCAAGAAATGGTCCAACATTGTGGGAAATTGGAATTCCTGATAGAACAGCTGCTGAATTCTTCATCCCTGATGCACAACCAAAACTCTTGAACCAATTATATGTTGTACATAATCAAGAAAGGTTAGAAAAATCCCATTTAAATATCTAACTTTTGTGTCAATTTCTTATTGGTTTCTTGAGCTGAGGGTCGAAAACAACCTCTCTATCTCAGACAAGGTACATGTAAGGTCTACGTAGACCATACTATACTGAATATGTTATTGTTGTTGAGAAATGTAATTTGAGGGTCGGAAACAACCTCTCTACCTAACAGAAGGTATGTGTAAGGTCTACGTAGACTCTACTATACTAGATATGCTATTGTTGTTGAAAAATGTAATTTGAGGGTCGGAAACATCCTCTCTACCTCACTAAGGTACGTGTAAGGTCTACGTAGACCCTACTATACTGAATATGTTATTGTTGTCGAGAAATGTAATTTGTTGGTTTTTTCAGGTATAGGCAATATGGATTATGGGATAGGTATACAGAGATATACCCTGATGATGATTTGGTGTTTAGTATTGGATTAAGTAACTATCAAACAGATTGGTTCTTTGCTCATCTCAATAGATATTTATACAAGTATGTTCACAACTCCTTTACACCCTTTAGCATTTTTTTTAATCTTATGTAGTTATATTGCCGGACTCTCTAAAAATGTTGTCACACCTGTATATTAGATCCTCCAAAAATGTACGATTTGACATGTAGCCGGTGATATTTTTTGGAGAATCCGAACAACATAATTTTTTATCATAGATATATTTTACATCTTTACATGCTTTAGCATCTATTATCCTATGTTGCTCAGACCCTCCGAAAATGATGTTGCACCTATATATCAGATCCTCGAAAAATGAATATATTTGTATGATCCACTATGTATCTTACAACATTTTTGAAGAGTCTGAATCGATATAGCTTTTATCACTAAAATTTTCCCTTTGCGTAATAAGTGAAAATTCTTAATGTGCTTAGAATAATACAATTAGTCAATATTCATCAAAAATGATTTAAAAAAAATAAAAAATTCTCATAACCAAATACTAGAAAATGATTTTTGTCGTATCAAACGCTGACTAATTTATAGAATCTTGATGATGACTTTGGTGATATATATAGTGATGATGGGAACAAGACTTATGCACCAACAACATGGCAAGTTCTATTTGATCTTGAAGATGTTGATCAGTCATCAAACTATACTCTTCAACTAGCATTGGCCTCAGCACATGAAGCTGAATTGCAAGTATGTACAAATAATCTTTATCAATCATTTTATTTGTGACTAACAAATAGCCACTTTTTGGTCATGTAATTGAAAAATAGTCATTGTCATGAAGTCTCGTCTATAGAATTTGTAACATCATGACATAGGCTATATTTCAAAGACAAGGCCTAAAAATGGTCTGTGAACGCTATTTCTACATAGCTTTTATTGACTTATAATTGCATGTTTGTTCCAACATTTTAGGTTCGATTCAATGATCCAGAAATCGATGCTCCTCACTATTCGACAGGGTTGATAGGGAAGGATAACGCGATAGCAAGACATGGTATACATGGAATATACAGACTATATACTATAAATGTTCCTGGCTCTCTCCTTGGTTTTGGAACAAATATTATGTATCTCAAGCAAAGTAGAGGTGATAGGCCTTTTAGAGGACTTATGTATGATTATATTCGTCTCGAAGGTCCTTCAGATGAAAGCGATTAGTCTTGAAGGAATTTATGTTTGACTCAAACTTTTAGATGATATAGAACGGCGAAATTTTTGGATGGTACATGTTGATAGAATTTGAATGATCAGGAAGAACAAAAAAAATGATATTTATTTCTTAATCTACTAATCTTGAACCGTTAAAATCAAAATAATTATTAAAGTTTTTCCTATCTGTTTAAGTTGTTATGTTCAACTAATTTGAATTAGCATCGGATAGGACGACCAAATGTTTAAAAAGCATATAATACTGAGAAATTCTTCATCCACATTGTTTGAATTTGAAATCTCTGATTAAACTAACTTTTTGTTGTTTGGAACTAAGTTTATGTATAGGGTATTTTGGGAACTACAAAGTATTATGTTGGGTACGTAAAAAAAAGAAAAAAAAAACTAAGGAAAAATAAATTAATAGAACAAATCTTTCCTTGTTTGGTGTAATTTTCTTATGCTCGCCATCCGAAATTAATTATCATATGTTACTTTTCAAGAGTTAAATTATTTAAACTTTGATGGACTTTTTAAAATGTACTTTTTTCATCAAATCGAAATTAAAAAATGTAACATCTTTATGGTACTTCTGTTATATTTTTTTTTTAATATTTGACTTTTAATTGTAATGTACAATTATTCTACTTATTAAATACAAATATTCTCTCACATAAATTGACATTTTTGGTAAGTTTTTTTTTTTTCATGAAGCCGCCTTGTGTTGGAAAAAATAGTACTCTAATTTGTGTGTTTTTTTTCTTCCTAAAAAAATAAAAATAAATAAATTCAACTTTCCATTTTACTGTAAAAAATAATAATTAAACTTTCCATATTACCTTAAGTTAAATTTGGAGAAATTAAATAACGAATATGTCACTTAACAATTTATTAATTACAATATTAAGGGCAAGTACGCTCCTATATATATATATCCATAGAAATTGTACCTGTTTTTTTTACTAATTATATTGTAATTCTTCTCCTTAGAATTTAGAAAACAAGTTCTTGTTTTGTCTTAAGGTTCACACACTTTTCTCTCTAAATATTATTGGATTTTGTTTAACATATAAACTACAATATATAAATTTTGTATATCATACAAATTAAATAATCAGTAGTGAAGCTAGGATGTTTAAAACTTTAATATACATCTTTCAAAAAGTTATTTTCAATCTATATACATAATATTGTTTTCTGTATGCATAATATAATTATACTTGGATTATTCTAGTCACGCTACTTCATACCCTTGATTAAGTTGATTTACAATAATAGGTAATTCTTTATAATGTCACCTAAAAAAATAAATCATGTTTATATAGGTGGTTAAAGTGAATTATATTGATGTATAAATTCTCTATATTGTCCTTTATTTGTTTTTTTTTTGCCACCCAATAATCAGACGTCATTGGGGTTCTGATTAAATTCGAATCAATTGAGAGTAAAATGTTATTCAATAAAGATGATTTCATATTCAATACAGAGCTCGAATCCATATTTTAGAACTACAGTTTTTTTTATTTATTTGCATGCATGAATGATATACGATAATATTTTTTGGATTTTCTCTAACATTGATAGTTTTTTTTTCTCTTAATTGCAGAGTTGAAAAATGAGTTTCAAAATGCAAAACAAAATAGTTTTGTATTGCTTTGCTATTATTTTCCAATTTTTCTTGCTTGTCAATGGTTCAAGGGTGCACCATCATGACAATCGGTACGTACTATAAAACAATAATAATAATAATAATAATATTAATAATAATAATTAACGACTAAAATATTCATTTATGTTATATTATATATACATATATTTTTATTTTTAATTTCCTCTTGTAATTAAATTACAGGAATACTTCAACAAAAGAGAATCCGAAATTGCAACAAGTTTCTCCTCCCGTCACACTGACGGTCACAAGTCAATACGTAAAAAAATTCTTTATTTGTTCTTTCTGTTTGACTGTTTCAGTACTTTATTTACTATTTCGATAGTTAAACGAGTTTTTCTTTGACTTTATGATCTAATTTTTTTTTATTAACTTATTTTTATCAGGTGGTAATTGATAATGGCATTGTTCAACTTTCTTTAACTAATCCTACTGGTTCTATTTTTGGAGTTAAATATAATGGTATTGATAATCTCCTTGAACCTTTACAAGAAACACAAAGGGGGTAAGCTACAATATTTTTTATATATATTTATTTTATAATTTTAGATTAATAAATATATTATGTGGTAATTAATTAAATTAATTTATTTGATTTATTAATTACAACTCATGCAGATATTGGGATACTATGTGGAATGGTAAATTTGACACGTAAGTTTTTTTTTTTTTTTAAAATTAATTTAATTTTCTTTTCTTCTATTTAATTACATTTAAAAAAAAATTATGTACATTTTTTCTTGATTTTTTTTGGCAGGCTTTTAGCATCAAAATTTAGTGTGATAGCACAAGATGATAACAAAGTTGAAGTTTCTTTCCAAAAAATACATGATCCTTTGAATGGTAACAATCCTCCTCTAAATGTTGACAAAAGGTGAGATTTTATAATATAGTATATTGAGATTATATGAAAAAAGAAGGGTCGGGAGTCTTGGAACAACTGTAAAGTTGTCTTCGTGTGACTAGACATCACACCCCTTGGAGTGTGACCCTTTCTTGAATTCTAAATTATAACGTTGAATGCTTTGTGCACTGAACTGTCGTGAATTATATGGAAAAAAATTATAAAAATAAATATATAGGTATGTGATGCTACGTGGGAGTTCTGGATTTTATTCATATGGAATATTTCAACATTTAAAAGGATGGCCAGCTGTAAATTTGGATGAAGCTAGAATTGCTATTAAGCTCAGCAAATCACTGTAAGTTTATTCAATTTTTTGGAATCGGGTTTTCATGTTATGTTATATAATTTAAATAACAATATTTATTATAGCAATAAAAAAATATTCAAATAAATATTGTTGTTATATAAAGAGATTTGACTGTGCTTAAAATATTTGAGGATTGTTTTTCCATATAACAATTTCATTATAACGACCAACATTTTTAGAGCCGTTAAATTATCATAAACGTTTTCCACAAAAAAAATTTATTTTATTTTTTCCAAAAATTCGAATATAAATTAAAAGAACAATTACTATCTTGGATATTAAATTTGTGTGTATAATTTTTTTTCTTCTAATTTTTATTGTTAGGTTTCATTTTATGGCAATATCAGACGATAGACAAAGGATAATGCCAACAGAAGAGGATCGTGCAAGTGGTCAAACACTAGATTATAGAGAAGCTGTTAAAATTACAAATCCATCCAACCCTAGACTCAAAGATGAGGTAACAATATTTTTTCGAGCTTAAGTTTTGTGCATTGATAATATAAAATGTTCGGAGTAGTTATCTTTGTGTCAAATCTGATATGATAAAGTTTTATATGAATAGCATTTTATACTGTTAGTGTATACAAGTTAATAAAATATTCGAAATATAATCTTTATTTTGTGTCAAGTCTGATATGATAATGTTTTGTATGAATAGCGTTATTTTTAAACTGTCAATATATATTAGTTAAATGTTTTGCTAATTTTAAGTGTTTTTTTAATCTTTTAGGTTGATGACAAGTACCAATATACAGATGAGATTAAAAATATTAAAGTTCATGGATGGATAAGTGATACTCCACACATGGGGTTTTGGGTAATTTCACCAAGTTATGAATATTGTAATGGTGGACCTATGAAGCAAGATCTTACCTCTCATGTTGGTCCAACATCTATGGCTGTAAGTATATATATCCTTTTAGCTACAATTATCTTATATATATAATGATAAAAACACATTTAACTTGTATACATCAATAGTATATCAAATTTTTATACTGACATGTATATTTTACTAGTACCACTAAAAAGGAGTGAACATTCTTGTCAGAAATATAAAACTTATATACAATGACAGTGTAACAATTTTTTACTTTGTCAATGTTCTTGTTGGAAATATGAAATTTTGCTTTAGGTTCATCTTGTTGTTATGTTGTCGTTATTTTATTTCAATCCTATTTTGATTTACTTCATCAAAAACAATCTCTCTAATGTAACTCACAAAAGTAGAAATAAGATCTGCATACATCGATCCTATCCTCCCTATACCCCACTTATAGTATTACATTGGATATGCTATAGTTATTGTAATAATGTATAGAAGTTAAACTCTATGAAAAACGATATACATACTACTAAAAAGGAGTGAGTTTTCAAGTTTCGATCAATGGTCCTGTCAGAAATATGAGTTTTTCGATGAAAAGTCTGTCGAAAACGTTTTGTAAATGAAATTATAATAAATATTTATAAATGTTGAGCAATTTACATTTTTTTTTTCCTACAGATGTTTTTCAGTGGGCATTATGCAGGGCCACAATTAGGAGTTTCATTAACAAATGGAGAAGCATGGACTAAAGTTTTTGGGCCTGTATTTTTCTATGTTAATTCAGATTCTTCCAATGATCATACCATACTTTGGGAAGATGCTAAAAGACAGGTAATTAATTAATTAATTTTTAATTTTACTTAATTAAATATATTTTTTTTAAAATTAAATTCTATGAGTGAACACTATATTTTGTTAATTTTTGCAGATGAATGAAGAAACAAATAAATGGCCTTATGATTTTCCTGCATCAATAGATTATCTTCATGCAAATCAACGTGGCTCAGTTAGTGGTCAATTAATGGTTCATGACTGGTAATTATTTTTAAAAAATGCTTAATTATTATATCATTAGTGAGTGATTTAACTAAAATCGAGTTTAACCTGTATACACTAACAATATAAAGAACGAAAAAAGTAAGAAATACCCTTAACTTATTGGATTTGACTTATATTTGTCATTCGTTAGTTTGACATCTAGCTCATATATAAAATCTCCCATCGTTATCTTTTGTCTCAAATTTACCTATGAATAATTTGAAAGTTCCAAATATTCCCTTTGTACTAACCGTGGAAGGGTATATTTGGACTTGCATGTTTCAAATTATTGCATTTGTACGTATGATTCTTTATATTATCAATGTATATAAGTTAATTAGATTATTTATATTATAACTTAATAAATGTCTTTCTAGGTACATAAACGTAGATCCTTTGCCTGCATTAAATGCATATATTGGACTTGCTGAACCTGGACTTGTTGGATCTTGGCAAAGTGAAACCAAGGTTAATATAATGTAATTTTTTTTAATTATATATATAGTTACTTGAATATATGGTTACATTTTTAATTAATTATGTTGTTTTATTTATTTATTATTATTGTTAGGGTTATCAGTTTTGGACTCAAACTGATGATTCTGGTAATTTCAACATAAATAATGTTAGACCTGGAATTTATGGAGTATATTCTTGGGTCCCTGGAGTTATGGGAGATTACAAATTCTCTTCTTATATAACTGTTACGCAAGGTATTTTGTCTGCTTCATTTTATATGACAATATTTTATCAAATGAACATCATTTTTTTTTACTATAGTTTAATAACATTTCTAACTTATATAATTTAATTTTGCAGGAAAGGACACAAATTTAGGTCAAATTATATTTGAAGCTCCAAGAAATGGTCCACCACTATGGGAAATTGGATTTCCAGATAGAACTGCTAATGAATTTTTTATACCTGATCCATTGCCTGGTCTTCAAAATTATTTGTACACTAACACTACCATACATAAGTAAGTACTACGGGTTTGATCAGTCACTAATATTTGCATTAGGGTAGACTGTCTACATCTGCGACCCTTCTTCAAATCTGACGTGAACATGAGATGTTTTATGCACTAGACCGTGTTTTTTTCTAATTTGATTATCATGATATGTTGCTAATTACAGGTTTAGACAATATGGTTTATGGGATCGTTACACTGATTTATATCCTAATGGAGATTTAGTGTACAAAATTGGTGTTAGTGATTTTAGAAAAGATTGGTTCTTTGCCCATGTAAATAGGTAATTATTTATAATGTCTTTTTAATTATTTATTTGTCTATTATTTTTAATAATTACTTATAATATTTTTAATTTTTTTTTTTTAATATTAATTGCAGGAGAAATAAGGATAGGAGTTTTTCAGCAACAACATGGCAAATTGTATTTGATGTTAAAAATGTGGATTCTAGTGGCACTTATCATCTTCATATAGCTTTGGCTTCTGCATCTTATGCTCATTTACTAGTATGGAACCTTCATCTCTACTCTCAATACTCAACATATTTTAGTTTATAAAATTTATGAGGAAAAAAACGATTAAAAAATTAAAGAAAATCAAATATCGATCGTGTTTAAGTTTTATGTACTGAATCAATAACTGACTAGCGACCAAAAGTTTATATTACTTCTAGTCGCTAGTCAGTTATTGGTTATGATATATTACTCAACACATTTAATTTAACTTTTAATTAGTTAAAATGTTTGTTATAATTGGTTTATATTTATGTAGGAAGTATATTATATTTGGACTACTTTTACATGTATTTATTACCCTCATATAAATGGTATAAAAGTTAATAATTCTGAAAATTTGTGAATATTCTCAAGTAAGGGAATGGTCAAAAATGCACATTTCAAAGTAACTATCATGTATTACCAAAATTATAATTCAAATTTACTAACAATAGGAGGAACAAAAATGGTATTTACCCTTACGTATAGCTTTATGTTACACGTATTGAATAATAATATACATGACAAAAATCTTATTTTAATTGTCGTTCTAACTTTTTTGTTGAATTTTTATATTTATAGGTGTGGATAAATACTCCATCAAAACCAAGACCATGGTTTGATAGTTCACCAATTGGGATGAGTAATGCAATAGCAAGACATGGAATTCATGGATTATATATGACTTTCGATATTGAATTTCCAGGGACACAACTTTATATTGGTGAAAATATAATATATTTGAAGCAAGCATAAGTTTATGGTCCTTTTACTGGACTCATGTATGATTATATTCGTCTCGAAGGACCTTCAACAAAATAAAAAAAAGGGATTATATTTATTTTATAGGTAGTCATATTTTTTTTTAGTTTTCATAGTCAATTTTTTTTAATAGAATGAATATTGTTCTTGAGAATAATGTTTTTATTATCATACTCTAATAAAAATTTATTTCTTCATATTGGTATTTTGGTTTCGGTTGTTTATTTGTTTGTTTGTCTTACACTTAATTTATTATCTCTATAATTAATAACTAGCCATGGTATTATACTAGCTTGCTGGTTTATCGAGGACATGATCATATTGATTATAGATAGGAAGATTTAGAGGTTGAAAATTAGGATAGAAGGTTAGTAAATTGTCGAGCGTTATCTAAATTTCTTATTAGTATTTTCTTTTTTATCATTCTCCTACTATCTTATTCTTCTATTTTAGCATCATCTTGACTCAATTATTGTATTATTTATTGTTTGTATTATTCTTTCACTATTCAATTATGATAAATTTCATATCTTAGGTCCACCTCTATTTCTGGTTTTCATGTATGTTTGATTTAAGTAATTTATAATTAATAAAAAAAATTCAAATTCTCAAAGTTATATCTTTAGACCACCAAATCACCAACTCTTTCACCAACTCTATTAAAAATAATAAGACCAGAGAATATAAACAAACTACAACTCCTATATGAAATTTAAATAGTTTGAACTGAGATGCTTAAAGTGAGACAAGTTTTAACAAAGAAATGGAGTACGTATGAACAAGAAGACTTCAAAGAAAAATGATACATTGTATTATTTACCTATTTAAATTATTACTAAATTTGTGCTAAAAACAAATCTTGATGTTAAGTTGATCAAATATTTATTTTTAATCGATAATAAATGTGTGCAGATCAATTCAATATTAAAGTATATTTTAATATAAAAAAAGATAATGGTTTAGATAGATAAATGAAATATCAAATAGTTATAATCGTTTAAACACATTTTTAACTATTAACTCTATATTTTACCGTCTTCACCCTTGACCCTTGAGCCGCCTTTGAATCGACACATATGTATATTCTATCTTAGTTTATTTTTTTTTTAAAAAAAAATTCATATTCAAAGAATGACATTACCTAGTGATTGATGTTCTTTTTATTGTTTATTGTGATTATTGTGATTATTTTAAGCAATATTGTTATTCTATAATATTTGACAAAATTGATTCTGTCGAATGACGTGTGGGATTACCTATCAAGAATAAGAATATCAAATAAAATAATTAATGAATTTATTGGATGTGTTTCCTGTTAATAAATTTAATACAACAAAAATCTGAATAATCAGATCAATTATACCTAATTTTATATTTATTTTTATTTTTATATGTATTATATAATTAATAAAGATATTATTTTTAATTGGTAGGGTCGATGATCCATTTATTGTCAACCATCCTATTTATAGTTGTATGGAAAATGACTCAGTTACTATTTTAAAGAGCTAAAATATTCTTGTTTTCAGATTATTATTTGTTATATATATATATTAATCTATGATTATTTTTGGAATTATGTGGTGAAGTCAATAAATTACTACGCGAGTTGCAATTTTTTTAAAACTATACTAAAAATATTACAAGTTACAATGTTTTGCATGCCAATTTGATATAAAAATACTATGTCGTTTGGTTGGGAACAAGTTATCCACGATTAGTTATCATGTAGTTAGCTATCGTGGGATAACTTATCCCACCATGTATATGGGATAACTTATTCCATCACTATGATATGAATGGTGGGATAAGTTATCCCAAATATGAACAACCAAACAAAATACAAAAATTTTATGTCATCACTATTTTCTTATCCCATCACTGTTTATTTTTATCCCTCACACCAAATGACAAAGCGAAATATAACCAACTGATATAGAAAAAAGAGAGTAATATTTACAGTAATAGTACAAATATACTATTTTGGTAAATCCTCTTATTTTTTTAAATTAAATTATTTTGTACCTCACATAATATATATTCTTTCCGTTTATAAACGAATAACCTAGTTTAACTTGACACAAAATTTAAGAAAATAAATAAGTTTTTTATTTTTATGGTCCTAAATTAAAATTATATGAAATGTACCAAAATGTTTTTTAATTTTGTGGTTTTAAACATACCACGTGAAAAATTAAGGTTAAAATATTTCCAAAAAAGGAAAAGGCTCGTTCTTTTTAAATCAGACTAAAACAGATAAAAATCATTCTTTTTTTAAATGTTGCGCGTATAATATAAGACAAAAAAACAGCCTTACAAATATACTAAAGTTTTTTCTGTTTGGTCCCTTGGC